ACTGATTTCCATAGTGGTCGCACCAGTCTGCACTCCCACCAACAATGGAGAAGAGTTCCTTTCTCCCCACACCCCCTGCCAGCATTTGTTATTGGTTGATTTCTTTTGTTGGGGATGGAGCCCAATGGTACAGTGCTTGCTTACCATTTGCAAGGCCCTGGGTTCAATCCCCAGTACTGGAAAAATAAATAAATAAAGATTTTAAAAAGCCAAATTCATGTATCCTACCCAATCTTTTTTTTTTTTAGAGGAAAATATGGGTTTTATTCTTTGTTGTTTTTTTTCATTAAGTTTATTGGAACATTTTAGGTATAAAATAATACATTCTTCATTGGGATCTTGTACCTGTACATGATATATCTTAGTTCTTATTTTTTCTCCACTTCCCTGCCCTCCCTTCACCCCCTCCACCCTTCCCTATTTACAGAGACTTTGTTTCCATGTTTTCCTTTTCTCATATTTTTTTCTTTTCCCTTCTTTTCTTTCTCCTACCCTTCCCACTTCCCCAATTCCTTTAGACCTTTTCTTCCTATTTCACATTATCAATTATATCATTTGAACCTTATTTACACTTTTAGAATATCACACCATGGGGGCCGGGGATTTAGCTCAGTGGTTTCGCTTCCTCCTCCACAAGTGCAAGGACCCGAGTTTGATCCCCAGTACCAAAAAAAAAAAAGAGTTAGAATTTCACACCAGAGAATCCATCTGGTATTTACACGTGTGTCCTTGGGCCGGGGATTTAGCTCAGTGGTTCCACCACCTGCCTCGAAAGCACAAGGACCTGCGTTCGAGCCCCGGTACCAAAAAAAAAATAAAACTTCTACACGTATGTCCTATTTATTGCACTTAAAGGTATGGCCTCAATATGCATCCATTTAGCTATAAATGTCTCTAGTTTCTTGTTCTTTATGGCTGAGCCACCCAATCTTTATAACAATTTCTGGGGTAGGGTCTGCTAATATATGTTAGAAACTTCTCCAGATGATTCTTTTGCAGACTAAAATTGGGGGGCTAGGGAGTAGCTCAGTAGTAGAACACTTGCCTAGCAAGCAGGTGTTTTGCAATTCCCAGAAGCACGGGGAATACAGGGAGTGGAATGAATACAAAACTCAAAAGCAGATTGTTTAAGTGCAGATTAAAGTTTAAGAACCAAAGGCTGGGGATGTAGCTCAGTGGCGCCGCGCCTACCTGGCGAGCGCAAGGTGCTGAGTTAAATCCCAAGTAGTAGGGAAAAAGAAAGTAATAAAAAAAATTTAAGAAGCACTGTAATACCTTTCTTCTGCTCTAGAATTTGATACTCATTTGCTTAGTGGTTTTGTTTAGTTTGGGGACGTTTTGTTTCGTTTTGTTTTGTTTTTTCGGTACTCGGGATTGAATCTAAGGCCTTCACACTGAGCTATATCTCTAGCCCTTTTTCTTTGTTTACTTTGAAACAAGGTCTTGCTAAATCACTAAGTTTCCTAGGCTATCTCATACCATGCAATCCTCCTGCCTCAGCCTCCCAGAGGGATTAGGGTGGTGCCAAACTGATCAGTGGACTGATTTAGTAATCACTCACCCTTAATCCTAGCACCCTCAATCCTAGCATTGGATCATGAATCAAACTCACACTCTAGATCCAGCCACCTCTGAAAAAGCCCCACCTATGACTGCATGAGGCTTTGGGGAGACATCTAGACATAAGACATAACAGTAGTGGTGAGTAAATACAGTAAAATATAACACATTATTAAATCTGTACATCAGGCTGCATAGGTTTGGGCAAAGCTATAAGAATAGAATAGAGGACCTACACACACAAACACAAAAATTAACATTTAGTTTCTACTGAAACAATGAGGATGGGACAGATGTGCCAATGAGCGCTATCATAAATAACTGGAACTACACAGAGATATCAAGGTTGACTGCTAACACATATAACACAAAAATAAAGGGAACCAAGGATCTAAATATTTTGGGGTTTTTTTGTTTTGGTTTTGGTACCGGGGATCAAACTCAGGACCTTGTGCTTGCAAAGCAGGTGGCAGAACCACTGAGCTAAATCCCCAGCCCAGGGATCTAAATATTAATGGTAAAAACAAATAGTCTATTTAAAAAGAAAATATAAGAAAATGTCTTCGTGATTTCTTCATTAGGAGCTACTTTTTTTGAACAGGGTCTCACTATGCAACTCAGGCTGGCCTTGAACTCACTATGTAGCTCAAGCTGGCCTCAAACTCACAGCAATCCTCCTGTCTCAGCCTCCCAACTGCTGGGACTACAGGCATGCACCACCACGCCCCACTTAGGAAACACTTTTTTTGGTACCAGGGATCGAACTCAGGACTTTGCACTTTCGAGGCAGGTGGCAGAACAACTGAGCTAAATCCCCGGCCCAGGAAACACTTCTTAAATAGGTAAAATTTTAAAAGTACTAACCATAAAGAAAAAAACCGATAAATACAGCTATACTATAATCAAGAATTTCTGAACATTGAAAGACATTATTAGGTGGGAAAAGATAAGCCACATGTGAATGTAAAAAATTCAGTACTGGGGATTGAACCCAGGGCATTCTTACTGAGCTATATTCAAACCTGTTTTGAATTTTTTCTTTTGAGATAGGGTCTTGCTAAGTTGTTCAGGCTGAGCTCAAACTTGCCATCATCCTGCCTCAGTCTCCCAGAGTGCTAGGATTACAGATATGCCTAACTTGAAAGAAGATTCTGGAGTGAGAATCAACAGATAAATGAGGAAAAACCTTCAAGATGTACTTCACAAATGAGGGCAGCTAAATGTTTCATAAATGTATAAAATGGTGCCCAACCTAATCAAGAATCATAGAAATTCAGGTTTAAAACAAAAGCTACCTCTGGGTGTGGTGACACATGCCTGTAATCCCAGCACTCAGTAGGCTGAGTCAGGAGGGTGATGCTACCTCAAAAAACCAAAAAATAGGGCTGGGGATTTAGCTCAGTGGTTCCGCCACCTGCCTCGCAAGCGCAAGGTCCCAAGTTCAATCCCTGGTTCCAAAAAAATAAATAAATACAATAAAAAGACAAAAACTGCAAGAGCTGTATTAAAGTAGTGGGATTTGAGACAGTGTTTCTATGACCTCCTTTTTTCTTACTTCCCTTATATGTGGCTTAATAGGTTTTGTTACATTTTTTTAAAATTTAGAAGAGCTGGGCACAGTGGCCATGCCTGTAGTCCCAGCTACTTAGGAAACTGAGGCAGAGGCAGGAAGACTACTTGACCCCCCAACCCCAAGTTCAAGACCTCATCATCAACATTCAGAAAAGAACATATTTCTTGTTTATCTCACATTTAGATGAGTCTCCCTGTGCTCGCTTTGGTAGCATATATACTAAATGAAGTCTCCCTGTTATGCCTTGTTATGCCTCATGATTTCAGCCACATCGGTATCTCTTCCCAAGTCCTTCTCTACAGCCTCCTAGACAGTGTACAATATTAATGGCCTTGCCTCAGTTTTTACAGCATTTGTTGCCTGTTCCCTTATCAGGCCTTACAATCTGCTGCTTACGGAATGCACATGTTTCTCCTTTTTTCTCAACAGGAGTGCTTTCTAAAGATCACTGAACCCCAGATCTTTGCTGCAGAACCAACTATAGAAGTAACAGAATTTTTCATAAATATACCTATTTAAGCTCCACAGATCTGTGTCAGAATCTTCAAGGGTAGAGGTTTGGCTGTATTTATTTCTAAAGAGTCTCAACAGCAATTCCAGCATCAACCAAAAGTGAAGACTTTCAGAACAATTATGTTCTAGCAGCCTGTCGCTACACACCTTCACTTGGAAATACCATCCTCTACTCACACCAAGAATACTTCAAACTAATTTGTCTTTTTTTCCCCAAAGCTGGCCATTTTCCTGCCTTTATGATTTTACCATCCCTACCAAAATTATCTATACTCAAAATACCAACTTGAAAGAAATTCTTTTTCTCTCATTGCAGAACTACTAATCTCTATCTCGTTATAGACACATTTTATCTCAGTAAATCATAAATTCCTTAGTAGCTATCACACTTTATTTTTTCATTACCCTAAGTGACTGACTACAGTATGTCAGTTTCTGTAGTAAAAGAAAGTCTTAACAAGACTAAAATATCATTAAATAGTGTTAGGAGTCTATATGAATAAATGAATAGATCATCAGCTAGCCAAGAATGGGCCAGGTGGTGTAGCTCACTGGTAAAGTGCTTGCCTAGAATATGTTGTGAGGCCCTCAGTTCAATCCCCACTACCATAAAAAAAAAAAACTAAAGAATGAATTAATCTTTCTAAGGTAATTAAATAGAACAGCACCATGATATTAATAAATAAACATATATATATATGCACTAGAAACATGCCAATTTGAAGAAAGGAGTAGCTAATAAAAGAGATAACACGGGGCAGAGGGACATACTGGTATCTATCCATTCAAAAGGAGGGGTGAAAGGGCTGGGGATTTAGCTCAGTGGTGCCACTGCCTGCCTCGCAAGTGCAAGGTCCTGAGTTCGATCCCCGGTACAAAAAAAAAAAGTAGGGAAGAAGTATGAGAACTGGGCATGACATGGTCCCTTGTAGAACTGAGCAAGACTTCATAGTTTCTATACATCTCCTATCTTTCTTTTTTTTTTTTTTTTGAACTGGGGATCAAACAGTTTCTTGAGCTTTCGAAGCAGGCGGCAGAACCACTGAGCTAAATCTCCGGCCCTGTATCTCCTATCTTTAAGGGAAAAATTTCCAACTAGTACACTAAAAAGCATTTAATATAGAAAAGCATTTCTTATTGGCTAGTTGGGCTGTTATTTTTTAAATTTCCTCTACAAGCCGGACATGGTGGCACATCCCTATGATCCCAGCAACGGGGAGGCAGGAGGATCACTGAGAGTTTCAGGCCAGCCTAGACTACATGAGTTTAAGGCCACCCTCAACTACATAGAAAGACCCTGTCTCAAGAAACCAAAATTTTAAAAAACTCCCCTACCAACCTCTAACTCACTCACCTGAAAAGAGATCTCTGCTCATGTCTCCTTTCCCCAGCCAGGGCTCTTTCCCTTGTTCCAATAAGGAAACAACAACTGGCTTAAAAATGGAAAGACCTGCTTGCAGAAAATAAATTCAAAATCAGTCCTTAAATTCTAAGAAACAAGAGCCCATTAAAATAAATGTCAGATGGAACTATGAAGAATGTCTGAACATTAGCTAAAGTTACAACCCCCAATTGAAAACTTACTTTTAAAAAACAATACCTCGGAGTGGGGATTTAGCTCACTGGTTCTGGCACCTGCCTCACAAGCAGAAGGTCCCAAGTTCAATCCCCGGTACCAAAAAAAAAAAAAACCAAAAAAACGATACCTCCCTTGTGTGACTGTTTAGACAAATAATGAAAAGTTCCAGCAACTATCCTAAAGAACAAATTATGTCTTGAAGGAGTGAGGAGGACTACTTACCCAGTGAGACCAGATGGCCATAGTTCTCCAACATAACACATCTATACAAATCTCTCTGAGCAGGCTGGAGCCACTTCCACTCCTCCTGGGAGAAGCCTATTGCCACATCTCTGAATGTCACTGATCCCTGCAATGACACATAGATATGTGCAGAAACAGCACTCATACTCCCAAAGTCCCTGACCAAGGAGTGAAATAAGTCTCACTGTGCAAAGTATATAAATGGTAGCCATGAGAATTTCCAGAACTGAGTAATTCCACAACTAAGCCTTACTTTTTTGTTTCATTAAAAAGAAAAAAAAATAAAAACAAGTGATTTATACTGAAATGATTTACAGTTTTGTTTAAGATTTAGGACTACACAGGCGAGGGATTTAGCTCAGTGATTCTGCTGCCTGCCTCATAAGCACAAGGTCCCAAGTTCGATCCCCGGTACCAAAAAAAAAAAAAAAGATTTAGGACTACATATGTAAACATGGATTTCTCACTCTGGCTGAAAAAGTCTTATAATCTTCTATTCCACAAGTAGTGTGTTTAATAAGCAATACGTTGGGCCGGGGATTTAGCTCAATGGTTTCGCCGCCTGCTGCGCAAGTGCAAGGGCCCGAGTTGAATCCCTGGTACCAAAAAAAAAAAAAAGCAATACGTTCTCCTTACTATGAACCTATTTTAATATGAATTTCTTCATGCCAATAGCTGGCTGCCGCAGATAGCAGAAGCAGCACCCTTCAAATGGGACATGCATAATCAAATCTGTCAAGTTATAAAATTTAGCAGTAATTTTAGCAATGTAACAGGACAGGGAAGATATGCAATAAGGTACCGACCTCCCAAGAAGGAAATACAATACTTCCCAGGATGGAACCTAAAGCTCTTTTCTAGTGTTAGGAGAGTAAGACCCTGCTTTGAAGCCTGGTTTTGCTCCACTTGATGGTCCATACAATTGTAAGGCATGAACAGGAATTAAAAATACCACAAACTAGTACCAATGCCAGAAAACTAGTATGGCAAAGTTATATTTTACAGTTTTAAAGTTTAAAAAACGATGAAAGATTGTTCACTAATAAAGAGGCTGGGCCGAGGATGTAGGTCAGTGGCACCCTGAGTTCGATTCCCAGTACAGAAAATAAATAAATAAAATAGTCTGTTTCCTAGAGTAAACAGGTCTGCAGCAGTGGTAGAAACTGGGTTCCACAACAAAATGAAGAAGGTTTAGGATTTGGAGACAAGTAAGACAAAAGGTAGGCCACGTAAGTGACTAAGAACGAGAAGTGATTTGGCATGGTCGAACCTGTTATGCCCTGCTCCGTAAAAGATAATCACCAGCATTTAGCCCCAACTAAAATGAAACCATCACTGTTCCTTGCTAAAGAAATTTACAGTCATATCCGCAAAATGGGTTCTGTGGGTTCAGGGGTTTTGTTCACGGCTGCATCCTCAAGACAGCCTGCGCCGCGGATTAGAATCTCGAGACTCGGAAGGTCTAGGACTGGGTCAAGCATGCTCATCTTTAGTAAGTTTCAGGCGATGTTGGCACTGCCTTCTAGGGATCAGCGCGAGTCACTGACGCGAATGCTGAAAGACTCTCAGTAAGAACACGACGCATTAAAGAGTGAACGACGGCCAAAAGGGACACACGGAGCAAGGGACAGCAGCTAAAGAGAAGCGATCCGGGTCCTCACCGCTGACAAACGCGGCACCAGCTTACCTGGGGCATGGCAGGAAAGGAGACCCAAAGCGCGCAGGCTATGTGCCTGCACCTGGATGCAGCCACGTCCTGCCCGGCCTCTGGCGCTGGCTGGGCAGCGCGTTCTACCCGTGCTCTGCTGGCTGGCGCAGAGGTTCCGATCTCGGAGGGAAGCTAGCGCGGGAAGGGCAGCCTTGTAGCCGCCTGCACCCTGGACTCCGACCCAAAAACTCCACCAGGCGTCGCATACTTTTGCCTTTCCGAGCCTCAGCGATGCAATCACTACCAGGCTGCCAACAACTACATTTCCCAAAGGCAACGGTGGCGAGGGGCGACGGAGCGTTTCTGCCCTACTACAGCTCCCAGTGCGCCCTGTGGCCACGCCGAGTGCAACAGGAAACAAAGCCGACCAGACTTACACAACTAGGTTCCTAGAGGACCCCGGAGGGGGAAGAGGGGAATTTCCGCCATTCTATAACTCCCAGGATGCCCTGCGGCCACCCCCCACAACCAGAAGCGTCCTCCAGACTACTTTTCCCGGAGACCACCGCGGCGAGGGGAGAAAGAGTGTTTGCGCCCTACTACATCTCCCGGCGTACTCCGGAGCGACACGCACAGCGACAGGTAAAAGGCCACCTGACACAGACAACTACTCTTCCCAGGACCACCCGCGGCCTGCCTAAGCCCCAAAAAAGAACTACAATTCCCAGAACTGACTGCAGACTCTGAGCCTGGTCAACGCCTTCCGGCCTCTGGGACCCTGGGAACCAGAGGCCTTGCGTCTCAGGAACTGAGAAAAAGACGTGGTGATCTCAGTTCCGGACGCCGACCCGGCCTGCATAGCAGCCTGGACGCTCCCGGGTCGAGGACCGCCATAGCGATCTACAGGGTTCAGGGGACCGTCCTCAGAGAACACAGCCGCAGACGGCCCTGGGCTCTCGTAGGCTCTCCTAGGCCTCGCAGACGCTCTGGGGAAAGAAGGGCCCAGCGACCTCCTTTCCCGGGCACGCAGGGAGGGATCTGCGGGGCGACAAGGACAGCACCCTGACTCGGAGGAGCTGAGTCTGCGCGGGGAGAAAAGGGGAAGGAAAAGACCCAGTGTTGTACTCCGAGGGTCCACGCCCTGAGGAGCTAGGTTTCTTGTTTGGGTGATGTGTTTCTAGAAGTTCGTTCTTTAAAGTCTCTTTCCACCACTGTCATGGCTTCATTTTCCACTTCATTTTCCACAGATGACTTGGCCAGGCTTCCTGGCTTATCACTCTGTTTCATTAAGTTGATAAACATAAGAAAATTAGGAAAGAAAAAATTTATTTTGGAGACATGTTGAGTAATATGTGCATATTTAATCAGAACTACTAATATTGTCCAAACTATCATTTCTAACCAAGAATCTTGCCATAACTTCACTACATCCATTTCCCAACTCTTTTCTTTACACATAATCAGCCTGTTTGTGAAAGCAATTCAAATCATAGTACTCTGTTTAGCATAACTTAAGAGCTTAAGTCAAAAATTCTTAAAAATGAACAAAAAGTGCTGCACAAGCGCAAGGACCCGAGTTCGATCCCCAGTACCAAAAAAAAAAAAAAAAAAAAAAAAAAAAAGAACAAAAATACTGCATAACTGTATTGCAGTCTTTTCTTCCAGTATTTTCCTGCTCTGATTAAGCTTTCTATCTTCAAATGCCATATACCACAGGACCTTTGACCATGTCAATTTTCCCTGAAAAAAAACTGCTGTCACACCATAACTTCATTAGTTTAACTCATCTGTTATATTTCAACTCAAATCTTAGTGTGCCTATATCCTGTACTGCACCAATATCATACTGTTTTAATTACAGTATAGCTTTTTGGTATGGCATGTCCACTTGTACTTTTCTAATTTTTCTGTCCTCTGAGGTAGCCCCTCTAAACTATTAGAATCATCTTGGTAGATTATGAAATTCATGAGAAGTTTTGTTGTGACTATATTCAATTTAAAGACAGAAACAGTGCATTCCCTATAAAAGAAACAAAAAGCTGGGCCAAAGATTTAGCTCAGTGGTGCCACCGCCTGCCTGGCAAGTGCAAGGTCCTGAGTTCAATCTCCAGTACAAAAAGAAAACAAAAAGCGTTCTCAGAAGAAGGAAAACAGAGTCTGTCATCAGCACATCTACCCGTAAGGACTGGCTAATGGAAGTTCTCCAACTCTAAAGGAAATGACAATGCAGAGATGGAACTTCAAAGGGAAAGAAAAACAAGTGGATTAGGCAAAAATAAGAGTAATGGACTGTACCCAGGTTTTTAAAATGCTTGGTACAGCAAGAAGTAAAAAACCATGGATGTGGTGCTTCCATGTACAAGAAGAAATCTGAGTTGTAAAAGCATGGAGCGTACAGGGACTTAAAAAGGGAATCTTTCTGTACTTCAAAGTGGTAAACTGATGAGTTAGGTATGTATATCACAGACCTATCAAAACCACAAAACTACTAAAAAAAATAGATTGACTCAAAGATTTTTCAATATATAGAAGTAAAGTGTAAAAGCCAATATTGGTCGAATCCAGGTTATTGTGCTGGCTAGGCAAGTGCTACACCACAGAGTTATATCCCCAGTACTGTTGTCCATCTGTTCTCTGTTGTGTGATCCCAATCAAGATGATCCTTTAGTGCCTGAGATTTCTCAGATCTACAAAACAGATAGAGAAAGTACAACAGAATAGCTCAGAAATGGACTCAGAAGTATGTGATGTAATTAAAGAAATTATTGGATAACCTCTACAAATAAAGATAGGGTAACTGTGAAAGAGAAAGTCCTTTTGATTTCCATTTGACTGCTTTCTATGAGCCCATGCCTCATCTTCCCCTGTGCACGTTTACCTGATACAGCAGTGCTGCATGTTGTACATACTTGGAAGCAGCAAAGTAGAAATACTGTACTTCTGTACCAATATTACCTCCTAGCAGAGAAGTATGTGTGTGATAAGCCAGTTCTTCAGGTGTAACCTAGGTGTGAGACTAAAAAATTTTCCTTATTGACTTAAATTTGGATAACAGCAAGGTATGGGGTGGTGGGTACATGTGTGTGCTTGGATGGGGAAAAGCTCCACTGGCCTTTAGGAGATGTTTTTAAGTGGAATCTGTTTAAACTCTAAATCAGTTATGAAAAGCACGGTGAAGAACATAAAGCTGTTTCTGTATTCATTCTATTCCAAAGGACCTACAACTTAGGTGAAAGTTATGACCAACCAGATTAAACTACCCACATCCTGCATTTTAAGGTCAAAATTAACTGGTCAGCATTTAAATGGATTGGAGCTATTAGTACATAGAGTGTGATGGGCTTTGTTCCCAACTCTTTTACATCTCTTTGCCCCTTCAACCTTTGTCCTTTCAGCCCGTTTCTCTCCAAATTCTTTGGTTTATATGTGGTTTTCCAGTTAATACATAGCTAATAGCTCTTATTTTTCTTATGTTTTTAACTGCTTAGGTCTATTTGGATGTAAGGGTGAAAATTCATTTGATGGAAATACTTGTGTATATTTAAAGACCCAATTACTCCTCTGGAGCTTGCACATTCAAGAATGATTAATCTGTGTAATAAACTGATTACTACAGCCATTATATTTGAAAAAAATAAAAGACAATGTTTACGTTATCCTCAGGAAAGCAAGAAAATGGAAAAAGAGGAATGTGAGAGAAGAAACAAAAATGAAAGTCCCAACTAATGTTTATGTTAAAAATTGCACACATGCCAGGAATGTAGCTCAGTGGCACCACAAGGCCCTAAGTTCGATTCCTGGTACCAAAAAAAAAAATTGCACACACACACAAAAGTGTGTTGATATACTACTTTTTTCCTGTTTTCCTTCTGTTTCTCAAATATACTAAGATAATTCTCACTCATTATTACTCTCTGCCCAGAACACTGTAGGTCTCCACTCAAATTTATCTTCTCAGAAGCACCTTTCAAATCCACCAAGGGGTGGGGCATGGTGGCCCCTCCCTGTAATCAGAGGCAGGAGGATTGCCATGAGTTCAAGACCAGCCTAAACTACATAGCGAGACCTTGTCTCAAAAAAATAAAAAAACAAAACTACCAATTATAGTTTCCTCTCACATTCAAACCAATTTCCATCATATTAATACCTTGTTTTTATTATAACATTCAACTAACTGTACTGGATGTGTACATTGAAATGTTTATCATCTGTCTCCTTTTGTTGGAATACAAGCTCCGTGACAACAGAACTTTATCCCATTGTCTAGAAGAATGGTACATTAAATGTACATGGTAAGTAGTGGCACATAAAATATTTTTAATAGTGAGTAAATATATCCAATTATACCTCTTTGTAAATGTTCACTGTTTCATTATATAACATTTATCAAAGCCAGGTCTGGTGGCTCATGCCTGTGATCCCAGCACTCAAGAGGGTGAGGCAGGAGGATTGCTGTGATTTTGAGGTCAGCTTGAACTACACAGTGAGATTTTGTCTCAGAAAAAAAGAAAACAAAAAAGACTTAGCATAAGTTAGGCAAATATATTAAAGACTTAAAAATAGACAAGAAGGGGCAGGGATTTAGCTCAGTGATTCTCCCGTCTGCCTCACAAGTGCAAGGTCCTGAGTTCGATCCCCGGTACCAAAAAAAAAATAGACAAGAAGCCAGGTATGGTGGCACATATCTATAATACCTGTAATCTCTGGGAGGCTGACACAGGAGTACTCCAAGTTCAAGCCCAGTCTGAGCAATATACCAATGTAAGGAGAACATGTCTCAAATTTTAAGAAAATAGCTGGGGGCCAGGCATGGTGGTGCACACCTATAATCCCTGCATTCAGAGGGCTGAGGCAGAAGGATTGCTATATTTTCAAGGCAAGCCTGAACCGCATAGTGAGACCCTGTCTCAAAACAAAAGGGCTAAGGATATAGCTCAGTCATTGAAAGCTTACCTAGCATGTGTGAGAGGCCCTGGGATCTATCTGTAGTACCAAAAAAAGTAGGCAAATTTCTGCTGAGATGTAACAAGAATGAAATTCACAAATATTATTGATTAAAAAGCAACATAACTACAAAGAGATTCAAAATTTAAATATAATTTGATGTCAATAAATGTCATGGTTTGGGTCTAGATGTCCCCTCAACACATGTGGTCATGGGTGGCTTTTTCAGAGGTGGCTGAATCTTCAGTGTGTGATGCTGGGATCAAGGGCGTGTGATTACTAAACCAGTGCACTGACTGGTTTGGCACCACCCTAATCCCCATAGTCTGGATAAAAGGGGCAGAAAGATGCTATTAAGGGTCCTTTGTTGCTTTTGCTACCATGTGGGTGCCATGAACTGTTTCTCCTCTGTGACACCCCTCTGGCATGAACCACTCTGCCTTGGAACCAGCCAATTATAGACTGAAACCTCTACAGACTGTGAACT